GCCGGGCTGCGGGGGCCCCGCGGCAGCCCCCGCCGGGGCTCGGGGATCCGGCCCGGAGCCTGGCCCCAGAGTCCCCGCGAGCAGCGGCGGCGAGTCGCTTCCTGCGGCCGGGCCGGAGCCAGCGATCGCTCCCCCCGCGCCTGCTGCTGCTGCTGCTGCTGCTGGGTCCTAGCGGGAAACCCTCCTCCCTGAGATTCTGTCAGGGAACATCAACCCTGCAACGCTCTTAGGAGTACGATGAACTAGCTATCCTGCCTTTTTCCAGCAAGCCCATTATTTCGGGCTTGCTATTCCGACATCCCTGTAAATCTCATTCCAGGAGGAGTGGGGGACGTGTGGAATAGCTCATTATTGCAAAATCTGATGCGGTGTAGACTGCCTCAAATTTCAAAAATAAGCTATTTTGAAATAGCTTTGAAAGAAGATACACAACGGCTAAGTCTACACCGGCATGATTTTCCGGAAATGCTTTTAATGGAAAAGTTTTCCGTTAAAAGCATTTTAGGAAAAGCGCGTCTACATTGGCAGGACGCTTTTCCGGAAAAGCACTTTCCAATCTAGACGCGCTTTTCCGCAAAAAGCCCCAATCGCCATTTTCGGGATCGGGGCTTTTTTGCGGAAAACAGTCCTGTGCTGTCTACTCTGGCCCTTTTGCGCAAAAGTCTTTCGGAAAAAGACTTTTGCCCGAACGGAGCAGCATAGTATTTCCGGAAAAGCACCGATGATTTTACAGTAGATCGTCAGTGCTTTTCCGGAAATTCAAGTGGCCAGTGTAGACAGCTGGCAAGTTTGCGGCTGATTTTCCAGAAAAACTTGCCAGTCTAGACGCAGCCAACTAGTGTAGCTTGCATTGCGTTTCTTATTCTGAGTTACGGCCCACTGTAGACGCAACCTCATGCCCAGCAGTGGGGAGCCAGGGCTGGGTGCAGAGAGCAGCTGGGAAGAGCAAACAGGGACTCAGGGAAAAGGGCCCAACAAAAGCAGTCCCCGTGCCCCATCCCCAGCCAAGAGGTGTTGCAGGCCAGCCTGGGATCCAGGGAACCTAATCCCCGTCAGGGGAGAGGGGAATGCTGGGAAGAAAGGCCCGGCCACCCAGGGCCTGAGGGTGTGTGGCCCCCACCCCAGCACACATCTGATCTTGCAGCCCCGCCAGGCCCGGAAAGTCAATGGCAGCTCAGGGCCTCAGATTATGAGGGGCCGCTCAATAAGAAAAAAGACTCTGTTTCATTTTGGGGTACTTCTAAGGGGCCTCTTCACCTTGACACAGCGTAGGGCCTCAGCATGTCTGAATCTGGCCCTGCCGGATGCTGTTTGTGGTTTTCCCAGGGCTCAAGGGATCCCAATAAGAGTGAGGTTCCGGTCCCCTAGGAATCCTGGGCCTAGCTTTGCTGACTTAAGGGGACTGTGCCGCACAGGAGGCGGGAGCAGTCCTCAGGGTCAGACAGATCTCTGGGGAAAGAGGATGGGAGCAAGGACTCAGATCTTTTCCAGAGCCATTTCCACCAGAGTGGGGTACAGGGTGGGAAAGTTCCCCACAGCGGAGCACCATCCCCCTCCTTACCTCTGTGCATACGTATTGCTTTCTCCAGAGGGGAATTTCATTATTTTAGGGAAAAGTGTCCCAGCAGCACTCGGGGAGGAGGGACGGGGGTTCTGGGATTTCTACAGGAGGGTCTGAGTTCTGACAGTTCCCAAGTACAATGAAGGTTACAGGAGTCAGAGTAAGAAGTCCTCCAACTTGGCAGTGTTTTGACATTATTCCGAAATAACTGCCTGCTGTGTTGACCCAGACTAAGTTATTTTGAAATAAAGTTGCTGTGTAGATGCACCCTCCCAGTACTAAAAGAAAAGGGAAAGGGCCCGTGTGAAACCCAGAGCCTGAGACTAATAAAGAGGCGGGAACAGTGCTCCAAGGTGCCTTATTGACAGAGCAGTGAGCCTATCAGGGAAGCAGGAGGCCAAGGTGCTGTTGTCCTCTGTGTGAGCTGGAGGGGGCCGGGTCGGCATAGGGCAGGAGGCACTGAGGCCAGGGCAGAGCTGGGAGCAGAGCAGCCCCAGCCAGAAGCAGAGAAGCGCAGCCCAGGGAGCTGGGGCTGGAGCAGTCCCGAGCCGGTTGCATTGAGTAACTGAGAGGGACAGGGGGACTCTGGACAATGGGCTTAAAGTAGGGAGACACCTCTAGCCATCCAGCCAACAGCCCTTGCATGCTGGAGAGGGAGGGGATCATAAACCACACAGGAGCCACTAACAGCCTGGGAAGAAAGGTCCTGTCACTTGGAGCCTGAGGGACTGTGACCACCACCAGACCAGGTGTCTGACCCGCAACACAAGCCAGGGCCTGGCCCAGACAGCTGACTAGGGGAGGAACAGCCCTTTCCCTGCCCTTCCATGCTAGAGGCGGCTGTGATACCCCCTCCCTTGGTGTGAGGCGATGGGTTTTCCTTTGCCCTTTCCCATTGGTTTCTGATATGTTTGTAGCAGTGGCTTTTTGATAAATAACAAAGAGTCTAGTACAGGGCTACTCAACACGCAGCCCATGGGCCGTATGCGGCCCGCGGCCCGTTTGTTTGCAGCCCGCGGTGCGGT